ACATCTTTAGCTTGCATATATGCCTGAGTATTCTAACACCACTCAAGGGGTTAAGACACAGCCTATGAAGCTATCCACAGCCACTGAAGCACAAGTTCGATCCCGGCCAGGGAGCTACTCACATGGCACAGCAGACTTCTCCTGACTCGCCTGCTGCTCCCCTCAGCAGTGTATTTCAGTGAATCTGCCTGTTCTGTTCCCCACTCTGTCTCTGGTGAATCCTCTCACCCTGCACACCTATGGCCTGTACCCCTGTTCTTGTATGCATAAATAAATCAATCTTTTTTAAAAAAGAAAAGAAAAGAAAAGAAAAACAAAATGAAAGGTTACCACTTAGCAGCCTAGGCTACTGCAAACACTTGTTTCCTCCTCCATGATTGACGTGGACTGCCAAGGCAGAAAACTTATTTTTATCCCCTCTACGCTCTTACTGTTTACAATACAAACCCATGTCAGACTTGTGGCAGTTCAGGGCACGTCTGACTGGTGAGCATGGCAAGATGTACCTGCCATGGGAAGGTACCTGGAAAAGAGGGGGCTGAGAGAGGAAGTGGGTGTTGCTAGGAATCCCTCACAGGGATTCAGTTCCTAGTCTCCTGCCATTTGCACTGGAGAGCTAAGGCCCAGAGCAAACATCAACATTGCTCTCCCCCACACCCTGTGATTTACCCAAGGTAAAGGATTTGTTTGCCTTCCTCCTGATTATCCCCTTGGTGAGAAAATGAGAAGAAAGTGTAGGCTGATCACAGAGTCTTCCCCACCGCAGTTATGTGGGAATCAGGACTGCCCGGTGGGGCTGCCAAATCCCTGCAGAACTCCTGCCACAGATGACAGGGAGGAGTGTGTGCACAGCCACAGGGCCAAGATAAACAGGCTGGGCCTGGGCCACCGTCATCCCGCTCCACACAGGAGATGAATCACAGGGCATCTGCCCCTGTCGCCTGCTCACACATAGCTGCCAGGGAGGGCCGGGTGGGCTGTGCTGACTGAGGGAGCTCCTGTGGAGGAAGAATTCTGAAGCTGCTCCTTACCTTCTATTTTCACAAAGCTAATGCCATGGTGGGGAAGGCACATGACAAAAGTCTCCCAACACAGTTTCTCACAAGGATCCCCAAATCCTCAGCACAGAAACTAATGACCCAAAACTTAGCTCTGCATATACCTATGGCTTGTTGCTGAGAGCTGAGAACTGCAAAACCCTCCCGAGGTCTCAACCCACACACGTGTAGTTTATAGTCCTCAAGGGGCAATAAAGTAAGAAGTAATTATCTTTTTTTTTCAAAGGGAAATGCAGCATGGAGCTATTAAGATAGGGGCTTTTTAGAAATTCCTAGTGCCTCTGCTCTGGAGGAAGCACCTCCACAAACACTCTGCTGCCTGCCTCGGGAGGGACGCTGGTCCCAATCCACAGAGGAGGAAGCAAGCTCCGCGGAGGTGAGTGCCGAGGAGGCAGAGACAGATGAGAGCCTGCTCCACAGCCTCCCAGCGACTCAGTTCACCCGGAATGAACCATCCAGACTCGAAGCAGAGCTCTCCCAGAGCTGGCCACAGTTACAGGCCTGGTGCCGGCGGAGGACAGTGAGTCTGGAGGGCTTTCCAGCGTGTACAGATTTCTTTGAAGCTCTCAATAGCTTAACTGAAAGCATTTATAAATCCCTGCTGATGGGGTAGACAGACAGGAGCCAGAGGCTTACAATACTTGGTTATTCCCCTAAACCTTATTTTTCCTACTCCTTCCATCCTGGGATCTATGGTGAGTTAATGGCTCTTCAAAGCCAGGAATCCATCTGCTCTCATAGGTCAGGATGTTCAGGAAGAGCCTCTTGGGGCTTCATCCACTTTCCACGCTGCCTGAGAACAACTCCCTGAGCCTCTCAACTCAGGGCCTCACCTTTGCAGGGCCCTAGAGGCACCAGTGGCCCCCTGTGGGCATGGAGGAGTGTGGAGGTGAGAGGCAGAGGAACACACTCCATCATGAGCAGATGGAAGCAACCTAGCACCTGGGCAGCCTGGGTCCTGGCCTGATCACTAAAGAATTGGGAGATTTCTTTTTAAAATGCAGTTCAGAGACTTGTTTAAATAATACATACTGTGGGCACACAGCAGTTATCTCAACACTCTCATACTTGCTAAAGAAGCAAGAGGTTTCTTCAGGCACCACCTGTTACTTAAAGTTCTTTTGATCCTATTTGTGTTAAAAATAACCTCCAAAGTCATGTATGTATGTGTGTATGTGTGTGTGTGTGCGCGTACATATGTATATCAGGAATCGCCTATAACTCTCTGCACAGAATGTCTGGAAGGTGACCGCAAACTAATAACGATGATGACTTAGGCAAGTGGCCGATCTCAGAACTACTGGAAAATGCTTGGGAACTTTGAAACCCAATCACATGGGTTCGTCCATTTATTAGCTGTGTCCTCTTAGACAAGTTTCTTAACCTTCCACAGACTCAGGGTCAATGAGGAAAAGGGGAGAATGATACCTGCTGGGACTGAAAGGTACACAGGGCACGCTCAGTACATGCTGCTTATGATTATAACTACTGCAAAAAAGGAAGTTACCAGCAGAGCACAGCTCTAACCCCCGTGTGGCTATGGAAACTGCCACCTGCTGAAGGGAAGAACTGAGAGCATCACTCAGCATCCTGGTTCTGCATTTCATCTCATGTAACTCCTGGCATGAACTAACTCCTGATGTGGTGGTTATTGTCCATTGGCATTACATTACCTGTCACCCCACATCTATTCTCCACCCATGTCCACCTGCTCTGTGGTCTGTTGGGTGACCCCTGTGGACTGCCTTCCCAGGACCTGTGCTCTCTGGCTTCTGACTGGGATCTGCCCATGGACAGAACAAGCACAAGATCCAGGTATTTATTCCCCTTCTTGCCTGACATGGTGCAGCCTGTGGGGCAGCCCCTCTTCCATGATGCCAGCACTCTTTCATTAAACTCTCTTCAGATAGGCCCTTTTCAGGTACCACCTGTTTCCTGTGGAGACCATGATCAAAACAAAAGGGGAAGAGGTTTTCTCAATGTGAAGAGTAACCCTAACATGACTTTTAAAAAGAGAATGACTAAAGCTAATTATCAGCTTTATAGACACTTTATTAATTCCAGCCAGGATTCTGATTTTCATCATTTGAACCTTCATAAGTAAAGAGCAGTTTTCACCTAATAACAAAGTAGAGAGGCCACTGAGAATGCTGCTGAGCCTACAGGTTCTGACTTTTTCTGTAGGAGGAGCCCATTTTCCATCTCTCTAAAGCAGTAAGAACCCCGGAATAGGAGGGACAAAATGACACTTACTCTGTGTAAGAAAATAAGTAAGTTGTTCCACATCAATGGTTTCGCTTGAAGCTGAGAACAGCATGCTAAGGTAAGTACTGTCATTATTATCCCCACATTTCAGATGATGAAACTGAAGTGTAAAGACACTAAGGATTGGGCCTCCCTGGTAGCACAAGGGGTTAAGGCGCAATCTATGAAGATGTCCGCAGCCTCTACAACACGAGTTTGATCCCCGGCCATCCAGGGAGCTACCCACATGGCATAGCAGACAGACCTCTCCTGACTCGCCCGCTGTTCCCCTCAGCAGTGTACTTTGGTCAATCTGCCTGGTCTGTTCCCCACTCTGTCTCTGGTGAATCCTCTCACCCCCCCCACACACATACCTCTGACCTGTACCCCAGTTCTTGTATGCATAAATAAATAAATCTTAAAAAAAAAATAAAGACACTAAAGATCTTGCCCAAGGTCACATAGCTGTTATGGCAGAACAAGGATTTGAACCTGAGCAGCCTGATTCCAGAATCTATTCTCGTCACCAATTTGCATCCTCTACAGGAAAGCTTGGAAAGGAGATTGAGGCAAGGAGAAACAAAGGAAACAGCGAGCACAGCCTCTCTTCTAACTGTCTCAGCATCTTCCAATCCATGAAATGTTCCCACAGTGGGGACAGGTTTGTGGGGGGCATATGGCAGCCACTGACCAGGATCACTAGCCACGGAATTCAACCATAATTCAGGAGGTGACTGTGAAAATGAAATGCTATGAAGAACTGTGGCAGGTGAAGAAAGACTGTGAGAAACCAGGATTCACTGCAATATTGTCAAATACCAAGCCTTTAGTCTGCAAGGGAGATCTCTCTTATAGAAAACCTTCTAGCGGCAGATAGTGTGAGGGCAAATGTTACTTGCATTGGAAAAGTGATCCAGAGAAAAATTCCTGAACAACATTTTAAAGAGAAAAAACAGATACTGTTGGACACACTGGATAATTTCTTCCACAGAGAAACTATCCGTAACTCTAGCACCTTCAAAGGAAAACAATCTCTTGGACCAAATAACCAAAAATACCAAGGACACACACCTTTCCAATGCCGTCCTAAAGCAAACCCGGTACACAGTGCTTGCTGACAAGCCCATATTCCACCTGCAGAGGCAGCCAGTATTCCATTCTAGTGTACACCTACTGGAGATTAATCAGAGAGACCCTGGGGTGTTATGGATTGCTGGATAACTCAATTCAGGCAGGGCAGAAAAAAGATAAAACTGCAAAATGATTTGTAGCCTGGACACAGTGGCTGAGACCTGATTCTTATTCTGCTTCATGTAATATTTACTTTGTCTCTACCTCCCGCTTGCTGAAGAGGGAGGATGTGTGGGTGGTACAATAAAAGAATCAGACTTGTGCATATTACATATAGTTCAGTTATCCAAGGAGGAAATAAGTTGACAGGAAACAGTCAGAAAATAACACATTAAGACAGACTGTCAAACAGTTTCCCAAAATTAATAAACTGCCAACCAATCAGCCACAACCTATGCCCATGTTTCATCCCAATGCAATATTTGAATCACTTTGGATTCTAGCTTTTTGACTGAATGGCTAAGCCTGAAGTCATTCTGCAGACAAATCTGGCTGTAGACATTTGAAAGATGGCTATGGGTCACCAAAAGTGATTGCAAAGCCCTCTAGCATGATATTCCCTCTTACCAGTCGAGTCGGCACCAGAAGCCCTGCCACTCATCTGCTCCTCGGCACTGATGAGCTGCAGGTCTGTGTAGGAGGGGCCCAGGCTAGGACTGCTGGTGTCTTCAGAATGTGTGGTCCAGCTGCTCTCGGAGGTCAGAGGGCATCTCCCCACAGAGTCGAAGGAAGGACATGTCCAGCAGGGCACGGTCAATGGTAGGACTGTGGACAGGACAAAAACCAAAAGTATACACTATAAATAGTTGTACTCTGTTTATCTTTAGTGTCTGTCTTACTTTGATGTTGCTCAGTTCCTTACGAAATGTCAACAGTCATACAAGGCCAGGAAGTATAGGAAGGAACACTTAGGATTCAGGTGGGGAAGCTAATTGACTGAGAACCATGGTTAGTCCACATTAAAACCAGTACTACAGTGCAGGTCTGATGACCCTCAAATCAAAGAAGATCACACTGGATAATATAAATGATTTTAAGGGTCTACTTTTAATTCTAAATGTAGAGTTCAGTTTCATTCAACCCAAACTACACACGACTTACAGTTTCATCTTGATCCTCACATGTCCTTCATTTTTAGTGGCAGGCTAACAATCTTAAGAAAATTCACCAATTTACACTGCAAAATTGGAGCTAGAATGGATGAAGGGACAAGCAAAGATATGAAGCTACGTATGTATTTGCATATCAGTGGGATATACCTCTGCTTACTTGAGTTTTGATTGCAATTGGCTATTCTGCGGACACACAGAAATAGAGACTTACTGGTTGACATGTAATACAAGGGAAAATATCTTTTAAGGAGGAAATGAAGAAATTCATGGGCTTGGCTTTATCGCTTCATCTTTGAGCAATAAATTCAGCCTTTCAAAACCACTTTGGAAAATTCTTTTTTTTTTTAAATCAAGTTTACTAATGTCTCCAATTTGTCTGTAGTTAATTGCCTACCACATGGTTTCTCCATGGTATTGCATAAGAATCTGATTGCAAATTTAATGCTAGTACTGAAAACAAGTGCTGAAAGAGTTTGGACAGGGAAGGAAGGAGAAGAAATAAATTAACATTTGTTAGTTAACATTAAATTAACATGCCATATTAAGACATCTTTACAAATGTTATCTCATTTCACCCTTCAATCCTGACCAGGATTTTACACAGGGGGAAATAGACTCAGAGAGATTAAGTAGATAGAAAGTCAGTTCGTATGGCTAGAAAATTAAAACTGTAGAGCTTGGTTGGGAAATAGTAAGAGAAAATTTGTTGTAGAGCAACCCCGATACAAAATGGGGTGCCTGACTGTGGGTCCTCACCTGCGCGCTTAAAAGGACTTATCAATGCTCTACCAGAGGCACACGCGAAAGGTCAATAAAAGGTTTATTTACAAGGGAAGAGGAAATGAGGAAATGTACAGCTCAGGGAGAAAAGTGGAAGACAAAGTTTTAAATGCGTCCTACCCGATCTGCCGATCAGGAATCCCAAAATGGCACCCTGAGAGCTGGCCGCAAGCCAGGAGCCGTGAAGCCAGGAGGCGAGCGATAGCGAGCCCCCCAAGGCCCACGTGTTTGGTTTTTATATCCAACCTGGCTGCCCAACTCCACCCTCAGGTCCCAGCCACCCTCCCTTTGGTGGTGATGGGATTTGTCTTTCCCAATGTCCTGATGGCTTTAGTCTGGAGTGGGGGTGGGGTCCACAAAGCCTGTATGGGATTAGCGCAGTACATCATTTCCCCCTAACAAATTGAGTTTTAAGAGGGAAGAAAGATTAATAGTAAAGTTTGGGACATAGTATCAATACAAAACTACAGAGGACTTTCATTCGATGTTTTCTTAGGCATTTAGAAGACATTTAGGACATTTCTCTGGAATGCTCACAGCTCACACCCCCCCTTTCTATAAAAATGTCACTATCTCAAGGAGGAATTCCTGATTTGCTCCAAACACATGAGGCCCTGTTTTTGCTTTATTTCTTTTTAGCATGATCACTGACTAATGCACTACATACACAATGTCTTCCCCTCTAGAATTCAAGCTCCAAGTTTCTTGGAGGGAATTTTGATCCATTTTGTTCTCTCCTGCACCCCCATTGCTAGAACAGTGCCTGATGCATAATAAATATGCATTGGTTATAGCAACAGAAATACCACAAACCATTCCATAGCAAGTTATGTTAAATATAGCTTGTTTAAACTTGTAACTATAAAAGCCCCATACAAACATGGAAAAATAAATAACAACAACAAAAAAAAAAAAAAAGAAAAGCTAAACATGGAAAAGCTAAACCTAGGGCACTATTTCCTGAAGTATAGTAGACAAAACTCTGAACTACTGTGGAAATAAAATTAAGATATTAAGTAAATTATAATAACATTATTTAAATTACATTATAGGGCAAGCAAGAAAGTAAAGAATTATGAGCGATGTAATAAAAGCTGGAACCAAAAAATGATACACAGAAGGAAAAAAAACTGATTTTTACACCCTGAGTATTGTGAACAAATTAAGGAGACCCCTGAGTTTTGGCTTTATAAGTCTCTTGTGAAGAAAGCAAAGGGCAAAATACCTAGAGTTAGCCCAGGAAGGGAAATCTAACAGATTTAAGGCTCAAAGTCAGATATCCCAAAAGTCTCTGTAAGGGCAAATTAAGAATTCCCCTTTCCACCCAGCTGAGGGTAGCAAAGAAGACCCTGTGCTTTAACACTGGATACAAGGTAGAGAAAAAACACCTCCTGAGAACTTACAATCTCAAGCTGTCCCGCATGGGGGCTTGCAACTAAATCTACTTGTGTGGTCTAAAAAACCTCTAGTCTGAAAACTTGGCCAAAGTATTTTCAGGTTGGTGGTCACCTCAAGCACCTGGCAAAAGCACATACTAATCCTTTCTATAGGAGAATACCTTAAATCAGCCATACCAGAGAGAATGTTCTTTAGCTGATATGCACATGGTAATAAATATCAAATAAAAATACAAAATATTTAAGAAATCAAATCACCATGAATAAGAGCCAGCAAGGTGTGCAGAGTGGGTGTAGGGTAAAGAAAATATCAGGCTTTTCTGCCCTCCCGCCATCAGGATAGATGATGGATCCTTGTCCTGAATGCATGCCTGATGGCGGGCACCTGGAGTAGGGTGTGGGCATAGGTAGATGGGATTCAGTTGAGCTAAGACTGTGCTTTTAAGGGCGGCATCTTGGGAGGTCAGCAGCAGCAGCAGCAGCAGCAGCAGCAGCAGCAGCAGCAGAAGAAGCCGAAGCTGAAAGAGAAGCCGAGAAGCAGCAGAACGAACTCCAGAGAGCTCAGATAGAGTGAAGATTTGCTGGGGGCTGGAAGGCCTGCCAACCTCCCGGCCCCCCAGCACCCCTGCCTGCCATATGCCTGGTGAACCCCATTAAAAAACCTGCAAAACTACTGAGGACTCTGACTCCTTTACCCGGTCTGCATGGGATCAGAAAACCTGCACTGTGTCCATTCCTGCCCTTACAATTGGCGAAGTCGGCAGGATCCATGCAGACGGGTATGGAGCCCTCCGAAGACCTGGAGGGACTAAGGAGAACAGACTGTTTGCCTGTGATGACGCTGGAGGCGCCATGGTGGCACAGAAGGTGGACAACGTCCACGAGCTACAGGATGAGACCTGGCGTGAAGGAGACGTCCGAGAGGACCAGCCAACGACACCGGAAAGGACCAGCCAACGACACCTGAAAGGACCAGCCAACGACACCTGAAAGGACCAGCCAACGACACCGGAAAGGACCATCCAATGACCCCTGAGGCAGCAGGCCGTTGCTGAAGCGGGGAGAGGCCAATGGACTTGAACTGATGGACTGATGGACTGACAATCCCGCCAGAAGGCGGAGGACCTTGGCAGGTTATGTTTTTTTTTTTTTTTTTTTTTTTTTTGAGAATCTGGGGGTGGCCAGTGGGCCTTGATGGCCAAAAGCAGCCTGTGTATGCCCAGCAGCCAGGTGGAGGAGAAAAGCCAACTAAGAAGGCAACAGCTAGTACTGATGCTAAGTTGAGAAGCCCTAAGCGGCTGTTAAGCAGCCTGGGTATGCTGAAGCCCTGTGAGTTTCATAAAATCACCTGTGGGTGATGCCCTGCTCATTCTTGAGTGAGGGTGAGGAGCTGAGGAACCTGTCCTTGGGGGACAGTTGGGGAACGGGGCTTGGGGTGGAGCCCAAGCCAAATGTAGAGTTTGGATCCCCAACCCATGTGCTTGTGCAGTGGGTTGGCCTGAATGCAGGGGTCTGCGAGTCGCATGGGTGGCCATGAAAGCCGAGTGTTGGAGCGACTGCAGACAGAAACCCTGAGGGTTGGCGATTACCCCCAACAGAATAAAATTGCCAATCCCAGAGCTAGTGCATCCTGGGGGTGGATGCTGTGTGTGGCTTGTAGCCGAGACTACAGCCAGAGAAGGCCAGGAAGCCTGACGGCTCCTGGTGTGTTATAGTAGATGCCGTGAGTGATTCCCCTCCCTTGTATGAGCAGTGCCTTTGGCAGCAGATTTGGTGGCTCATCTGCTGGTACCAATAATTGCCTGGACTTATTTGTGTTCTGTTGTATTTTGTTATATTGTATTTTGTTATATTTGATGTATTTGTTTTTGTGGGCCATGGCTGCATTGTTTGTTTGCTTAGAAAATTGTATATATATATGTATAGACTGTATGGCAGAAAACCCTGAGGGGGTGGACTGTAGGGTAAAGAAAAATCAGGCTTTTCTGCCCTCCCGCCATCAGGATAGATGATGGATCCTTGTCCTGAATGCATGCCTGATGGTGGGCACCTGGAGTAGGGTGTGGGCATAGGTAGATGGGATTCAGCTGAGCTAAGACTGTGCTTTTAAGGGCGGCATCTCGGGGACGCCAGCAGCAGCAGCAGCAGCAGCAGCAGCAGCAGCAGCAGCAGCAGCCGAAGCCGAAGCCGAAGCCGAAAGAGAAGCCGAAAGAGAAGCCGAGAAGCAGCAGAACGAACTCCAGAGAGCTCAGATAGAGTGAAGATTTGCTGGGGGCTGGGAGGCCTGCCAACCTCCTGGCCCCCCAGCACCCCTGCCATATACCTGGTGAACCCCATTAAAAAACCTGCAAAACTACTGAGGACTCTGACTCCTCCTTTACCCGGTCTGCATGGGATCAGAAAACCTGCACCGTGTCCATTCCTGCCCTTACAGTGGGGAAAGAAGATAGAAACAGACCTGCAAAGAATTCAGCAG